TCCACAGAATCAGGCCAGAGCATCATGCATGGACAGGAGAGGGTCATAATTCAGACTTGCTGGTTTTCTACAGTCCGGGGTGATCTTGGCTTGCCATTCCCTCACGGGAACGTCCACTGCCTGTCAGTTATGTGCCGTGGTCTGTGCTGGTGATCAGAACCAGAAAAAGACAGTCAGAGGAAGCTCTCAGATTGGTGGAAATGAGATAGACAGTTTAACAAGCAGTTCCAGTCCAGGATGGCCCGAGGGCACCATGCTAGGGGACAGATAGCATGCCACAGGAGACCATAATGAATGCACCTAACATAGTTAGGGACATAATGGAAGGCTTCTCTGAGTTAGTACTTCTTTAAAATAAGAGTATCTTAAAATAGCTAAGAGGGTTTTCACATGGCTTGATCATTTGGTAGGAATATCACCTTATTTCTCCATCTACTTAAGACTTACTTTTATGCTGTAAGCAGTTATTAAATAATAATATAATTGTGTACACCTGTTACCTCGATATACCTATTTATCCATCTGTCTAGATATTCTCCACTTTGACCCAAAATGCATAGCTCATAACTTAAGGTCATATTGTGCTTAAGTGAGGTCATTAGGGAAACTGAGTCAGCTGGACCCACAATCACTGGTATGGAATGGAGAGAGTAAGGTAAATTAGCCATATGTACACCAAGAAGACCTGTTCACCTGCAAATGGGACCACAAGAAAAGCCTGGGGTGCACGGGGTGGTGGTGGCGAACGCCTTTAATCCCAGCACTCCGGAGGCAGAGGCAGTCAGATCTCTGTGAGTTCGAGACCAGCCTGGTCTATAAGAGCTAGTTCCAGGACAGCCTCCAGAGCCACAGAGAAACCCTGTCTGGAAAAACAAAGCAAAACAAAAAAAGCCTGGGGTGCATTTTCTGTAAGATCTCTGTAGATTTCATACTGAACTGCCCGAGATGTTTGGGGTGGTTATGTTTGGGGTGGTGTTGCTTACAAGTGGTGGGCGGGGAGGAAGAGGGAGGAGAGAGGAAGGGACCGAGAGCTCCCATACAGAGCACTCCTCCTGGCCACTGGTTCCCTGTGTACTATTGCTATTCATAGCACTTCCTTTTCATCCAAAATGTGGGAACAATCTGACTGCCAAGCTATTATGAACAAAATGAAGAGGCTGTCTCGATACAAATCTGTACTCCCTTCCTAGTACTGAGAGCCAAAGGGCTCGGGCCCATCCCAGCTGGGTCTTCACACGTGCAATAATCTGAGCAGTACATTCCCTAAATAGAAAGAAGGCAGAATTTATAGACCACTCATTTTCCTGAACTCAGAGTCACAGCCGGGATGTGCTGGTATTTCATTCTGCTGCTTCTGGGTTATTTATTTAATATGGTTTCATTAAAATTTAAAGAACACAACTGGTTTTACAAATAAAACACGAAATGCCAAGGCACAAAAATGGATGGTTAAATTCGACAAATACCTCTACGTTTCTGAAGGAGCTGAGGTGTGAGGTCTGTTCAAACAGGAGGATATATAACATTTTGTAACTAAAGACTTTTCTAGTCACACAGAAATTGCTTAACATGGGGGCATGAAGCTCCCTAGCAGAGTGAGCTCTAGCATAATCCATCAAAACACCACAGCCTTCCACTCCTGTGCAGAGAAAGTAGCCAGATGTGAGCATCTCATGCTAAGCATTCAAAGCAAGATCTCAGACTCCTCTGTTTTCCACGGAGAGAGCAAAGGCTGTGGAGCACACTCAGGGCCTCCCAACTCTATTGATGGGTTTGGAACCAGGAAGGCCCTGGCTTCGGTATTCAACCACATTAAATGACCAGCATTATCCACAGCCCTGCCACATGAGTTAATTGTGCTTGCCGGGCTTTGACGCTGGGAACACTGGGGAAGGCTGTGTGTAATTAGGAGAGGGTCTAATGAGAAGGGCCTCACTCATACCACATGCCCCGCTATTGTCCTCAAAGGAGAGTGCCAGTCTGAGAAAGGGCGGGCCGCCGTGGAGAGGCATTCACAAAGAGTTCTGAGGATGTGTGGTGATCCTGCTACAGCAACTTTGGGGGTGGAGAAGAGATTCCCAGGCAGAATTTAGGCCCGGGCACTTGTGAGCGATAGACGAACAAACTCTGCTCTCACAGTTGGGCACCGTAAGCATCAGGCCCTGAGGTAGAGGAATAAGATGTGCCTTTCTAATAAATTCTTCCTGGTTCAGTGTGAATGGCTTCCAGGTACTTACAGGGCTCAATGGCTGAGTATTTCATCTTAATCCACACTCTGCACAGGAAACAACATAGACGTTAGACTTTTCAGACTTAAGGCGTATCTCATTCAGGTGGCTTCAAACCCTGAGGCTCACTGGAGAAACCTTTCTTATAAACATTAATAAACGACTCCCATCATTCCTTAGAAAAGCAGAGATCCATCTTTCCAATGTCTTGGAACAGCCTTATGATGAGGAGAGTGCGCAGACTCTCATCACAGCTCAGACAGGAACCAAAACTCCTCTGAATGGAGGACCTCACGTGCTTTCATTTGCTAAGCCACGAGGCTTCCTTAATTTTCATTTTGAGACGGCATCTCTATGTTGTCCAGACTAACCTTGAACTTACAATCCTCCTGCCTCAGTCTCCAGTCTGTTGGAATGACTGGCATGTGCCTGCCGCCTGGCCCAGTTCATGTGTAATTTCTTGACTGTCTAAACATGCCAACCTCTTTTACAAAGATCCCATTAATCTGACCTCATTAGAATAGCCTTCAGTCCTGGGTGTGATTTCCAATATGGCCTCCTCTACCACACACCTCAGCCATTCAGCTCCCCTGCAGTTTGGCTACTGAGTTGTGTGTTTAGAGCTCCAAGCAGATGTGGTACTGAGACCAACCCGCCATTGAGATCCAACCATGACCAAAGACAGAACCTCAGGATCTGCAGGAAACGCGGTGCGCCATCTCCAGTGACATTTCTCAGAGGTAACTTTATTGCTATTTGAAATCCTCTTTCCTTCTTGATAAGAGTCTATGTGACAGTTGCCATGAAGTCCTCCTGCCTTCCACCTCAGTGGCTCTCCTGTCATCCCACTTTTATGCATATAAGTGAGCCGCATGCACGCAGGTGCCCATGGAGGCCAGAAGAGGGTGCTGGGTGCCCTGGGGCTGGAGTTACAAGTGGTTGTGCGCCTCCTGAGCCAGACACTGGCAACTTAACTTGGTTCCTTCGCAAGAGTAGCACACGCTCTTAACCCCTGAGCCACTCACTGTCCACCCCTAATCCCTCGTTCTTAGCCCTGGTGTGGATCTCTATGACAACCGCAGCTGGCTGCTCACAAATCCCTTCCTTGCCAAGCTCCTGAAGGCAGGAGCCCTGATTCCCTCCTCTCTGTGTCCCCATCGTCCCCAACAAGAGCTAAGGGGAATGGGCAAGCCTTCCTAATGTCAACTTCAGCATATTTACCTCACTCATCAGTCAAGCAGACAAATCTATTTAATTCTTCCATAATTCCAAACACATTTCCCCCATTGGCCTGTGAAAATATTATGAAGAAATGTGCCAAACCAGACCCCTTCTAAAACTAGGAGTATTCTCCTGATGTTGGGTTTAATATTGCAAATAGAAGTAGAGATTAACCTAATTTGTGATGATCTCTTTTCAGCTAACCCATGTCAGGACCCAATCAGTGTCTGTCCCCTCTTTACAGGGGTTTGATGGCCCATTCTATACGTTTGCTGGGGCTAACAGGAGGGTCACTGGTCTGTGCTTTCTTGATCTACCTCTGAAACGCAGGGTAACAGATATTGATTCCTTGTAACTTGCTCAAAGATTGTTAAAAATAGTACCTCTGTCATGGGTTTAAATTATTTTTGTTGTCTGTAATGGATTTTTCTGATCGTGGAGACTTGAGTGTGTTTAAAATAATGGCCTGTTCTCAAACTCCTTTGCTGGAGATTCACCCATCTCTTCAGGGCATAGCGTCATGGATGATTATCAACTCTGTGGTGACAGCCTGGATACAGGCACCAGAGCACTCCTGGCAGACCTTGGCAGAAGGGGATTTACTATGAAGCTATTGAAGCTTCAGATGCCTTCGCATTCTTTCTTTTCCTAAAACTGGTCTTCTGAACTGTATTACTTGGGTCTGTCTCTAGGCTTTTTTTTTTTTTTTTTTTTTTTTTTTTTGGTTTTACGTGACAGGGTTTCTCTGTATTGTTTTGGAGGCTGTCAATCCAGCCTGGCCTCAAACTCACAGAGATCCGCCTGTCTCTGCCTCCCGAGTGCTGGGTTTAAAGGTGGTGACCGCCCGGCCTGTCTCTAGGCTTTATGGAAGCTCACATTTTATGCTTCTGCAAATGTTCTTGTGGGCAATACTATGAGCACCTTACCAAAACATCAAATGAAAACCATGGGTGTGTTCTTTTCACCTACCAAGAGACTGACACCAACCTTCACCAAGTTACTTGTTCTTTTGTTTTCTTAATGGGGGATGTCCTTCTGTATATGTGCTTCTCTTATTGGTTGATGAATAAAACACTGTTTGGCCAATAGAGGCAGGAAGATAGGCAGGACTAGGAGACGAGGAGAATTCTGGGAAAGGTAGTCAGAGAGAGACCACAAAGAGATGCTATGTAGCTTAGGAGGGAGCAACAGGTCCAGACCCTTCTTCAGTAAGATAAGATCACGTGGAAATACTTAGATTAATAGGAATAGGTTAATAATTAAGACGGGGCTAGCTAATAAGAAGCCCTAGCCAAGCCCGGTGTTGGTGGTGCACGCCTTTAATCCCAGCACTCGGGAGGCAGAGGCAGGTGGATCTCTGTGAGTTCAAGGCCAGCCTGGTCTACCGAGCGAGTTCCAGAACAGCCTCCAAAACAATACAGAGAAACCTTGTCTCGAAAAAACAAAACAAAACAAAACAAAAAAAAAAGAAGCCTAGCCATCGGCCAACAATTTAATAATTAATATAGTGTCTCTGTGTGCTCATTTGGGGCTGAAGTGGCAGGAGGACCAGGCTGGCAAGAAAACTTCAGCAACAATAACCTACCTAAAAGTAACTTGAGTATTTATTCACATATGCACGCAGAGAGCCACACTGGCAGAATGAATATTCTCCATGAAGGAAGTTTCTAATTAACAAGTCCAGACTTGCAGCCAGGAGAGCTGGCTTCTGAACACATGCCAGGAAGCAGCAGAAGGCTGGGCACATCCTTCAATCCCTCGGAGTCTTAGTTTCCTCATCTGGAAAATAGAGATGCCAACACTTCCTCACAAAGACGCCATGCAAAGTGAGATCCTACATACTAAAATTCTCTGTGAACCTTGGAAGTAATTTATAGATGGGGTGTTGCTATCACTCTGAAACTATAAAATTATACTCAACTAACACACAGTTTTGTAAATCACAAACTGTACATTCCATTTGGAGGCATGAGGAGCAGGAGCCAAAAATTCAGGATGCAAATAGCAAATGCTATAACAGGTGTATCATCCATTTTAAAACAACAAGTACAGTATCCATCTTTAAAGGAATCAAGGCTTTGCTGTCTACACACAGCAGATCCTGGGTTGCACTAGTGTCCCAGGTCCCTATATTTGTTACCTTTCCTTGACATCTCTCCATGCACATTCCTACAATTCCTTCTTTAATGGCTCTACCCTCCAACCCAGGAGAACATATCTAGATATCTAGAGTTGTAAAGTGCATACACCTGAAGTTTTAATAATGCTTTGTGTTGCTTCTGACCTGAGATGTGTTCCTCCAACCAGAGAAATAACTTGGAAAATGGTCGCAGGTTTCCAGAAGATCTGAGGGGTCTTCACACCCCTGGGCAGTTTCTGAGCACTCAGCTTGCTGGATTCTGTTGAGTTGGGGAGGCTGTTGCTGGACTTTTCTTAGCTCAGTTGGACAGCAGTTGAAACATAGGTTCCTCCCCTTACAATCTGTTGTTTTACAAGGAAGGCCTCATTTCACCAAGACCCACGCACAGCGGAGCTTCGAGGCGCAATAGAGACAACTGCATTCATTACCTCCAGCCCTACTCTCAGTTCAGAAAGGAACCCTGCTTCAGCTCATTATCTCCAGAGCTCCAGCTTCATCAGTCTCCATTAGCAAGTACTCTGTCTTTCTGCCAAGAGGCAGAGAGAGTGGGCGACTCAGTTCCCTGTCCCAGGTACTGACACTCACAGCCACCTCCTTGCCAAGCACGGCTCTGCATTTCACTGGGGAGAGCCCACCCTCCTCATCTGAAGGGTGTCTGGTGTTGAGTAGCCCTCTGACATCCAGAGACAGCAGCCACTTCGTCTCTAGCTTGCATTAGTGAATAAAACTTTCCACTCCTGCCATGGGGAAATGGAAGTTTCCCCACCTCTTCTAACCTCGATCCCCCATATGGCTGAGCCTGAATGTTCAACTCACTAGGTGAAGCAGCTGTCCCCTAGTATTAGCCCATGGCTTTGAAAGAAAAGATGGAAATGGAGAAATCCAGATCAACTATATCCAGAAGGAAGAGAAAGGAAGGAAAACAAAGAGGAAGATGTGGTGTGGTCCATGGGTCATGGTGCCGGATCGGGGGTGGAAGGTAGGGTCATTGGACAGTGAACCAGGAACCTTCCAAAGGGCAGGCGGCAGGTCTGTGGACCTGGGACATACGTGTAATCACCATAAAAAGCTCCCCCATCAATCCCTACTTTTATGTAAAAATCAAGAAGATAAAATTAAACACATCGATCCTTATGGCTCTGTGGGGTCCCCTTCCAGCTCATTCTTATCACCCCCTTCTCTAAATTTGCTAAGTTTAAAAACAAACAAACAAAAAGCAGATACTGTTTAGCATGAAGCATATCAGAGCTCTGCCCGGAGAACCAGTGTTGGGGGTGAGCAGCAGGAAGGCATGTGTACTTCGCAGCCATCTACTAGGGGGTGAAGGCGCCCTGGCCCTCGTCTGCAGATCTTAGCTACTGCTGAAGGAGTCAGGAACCGGAACTGCAGAACTCACCACAGCGGGCACCGTCGTCACCGCACAGCTGACTGGGCCTTCATCCCCAGCAGTAGTCACTGTTCTGGTGGGGAGGTCTGCTCACAGACCACTGTGGTACCCTGGGACTTCCATGCAGGAGGGAGAGGAGTGGGCGGAGAGGAAGCTTCTAGCAACCGATAAGTAACAGCTGCTTCAGCTCCTCCAACCCTCAGTGAGAATGACTCTCAGGTGCGGCTGCCTCCGGCTTCCAGAGTGCACTCGGGTAGAGTTCCCCTTCATCCTTCTCCATTGCCCCCTTGTTCCTGAAAAATGCCGCCCAGTAAACCACATTCACCTGGTTCTTCAACTCCCAGGGGCCTCTGGAGAACCCGAGACATCTGGGAGATCTGTGAACTTGTGAGGAGGATGTTTCCAAACAACTGACAAGGAGGTAGATAGAGAAGAAACACAAACAGGACCAAACAGGATGACACAGGGACTGGAAAGGGCCGACTTCCCCGTCCCATGTCTTAAAATAATAAAAGGTAGGTGTGAGTGCGTGCGTGCATGCGTGCGTGCGTGTGTGTGTGTGTGTGTGTGTGTGTGTGTGTGTGTGTACGTGCGTGCACTAACATGTAGCTGTATGCTTTCCCTTTCTTCTGGTAAGGATTGCACTGTGTCTTTCACATACTGGAGACACAACTAAGGAACAGTGGGTTATTTTATCCTAAAATCTGTTTTTCTTTGTATTATTCTAACTTTAGTAAATGACAAAATAGCTTTGACAGGAAATAAAATAAACGAAAACACAGTTTAAAGAAAATGGCACTGTGTGAGCCACAGAGAGAGGGGCTAGACAGAGGAGGGGTCTCCTCTGTGGGTTCAGTCTATGGTACCCTGAGCCATGTAGGCCAGTCCTGGGGAGCCCCGCCTCCCTGCTGTTAAGCATCTAACCCATGCAACAACCTCTAAGTGGATCTCCTCAGCACCTTCATTTTACGCATGAGGAAACTGAGACACAATCTGAGACATACAATAACAACAAACACACTTATTTTAGCTAATAAAGCACATTGCAGTGCTCAAACTGTATGTATAAACATTCTGACACTTCCCAGGCACCAGTATTATAATTGCATTGTAATTATTATCAAAGAGCCGGCTAACAGTTCCTCTCAGGGCTAGGTGTGGCTAGGTCTCAAACTTGGGACAATACTCTAGGTGCCTATTGAACATATCAAAACAGACCTGGCTGCCAGGTTCCCCCAGCATCCCTCAGTCCTTACCTGCTGCAGGGTGTGGCTGGCATACCCCACCCCCTACCTTAAACTTCTCCAGCCCAGGGTCTGAGCTGCCCTTCCCTATATAACCCAGCCCTTTTGTCTCCCCGTTACTCTCCAGGTCTCCTGCTCTCCCCTCTCCCCCCCACCCCCCTCCTCACATGGCTGACTCAGGGTCATGTCCACTCTGGCCTCTCCGAGATGTCCCTGCCTCTGGCTATGCTCTCCTTTTATCTACAATAACACTTCTCCATCATACCCTTCCTCTTCTTCTTTTTTTATCTCAATAGAGACCAGCTTTGTCATAGTATTTCCTTAGAACTCTTAAAAACATCAAGGTCGTATTTGGGGCCGGGGAAGCATGAGGAGTGTTTGCCTGGAGTCTACCTGTTCCCTTGTGCTTGCACACACAGCCTTAATCTGAATCCGATTCCTTTCTTCTCCTTCCTGGTCATACCTTCAGGACTGGCAAGGGGAGGCCCTGCCCTCGGCCACTGTAATCGTGTCTCCTCAAAAGCATGGAGAAAATCCTGACTCCACTACCAGCAGATGGGATCTTATTTGGAAATCGAGTCTTTGGAGATACAAGAGGGCAGGGTACCCCCAACCCCACTCCCTTGTCGAAGCTGGGGGCTGGGGGAGTGCCCAGTCCAGACTGATCCGAAGGCTGGCCTGGTTCAGGGAGCAGCAGGACCAGCAGTCTTTTTAGACAGTGGGAGGCTGAAGTGGGTAGTGGGTACGGCTGTGAAACTCACGTAGAGATGATGCCACCTACCATTTTAGGGTGTATACAAAACGAATATTCAGAGAAAACTGAGCAAGCAAAAGCAAGTAAACTTGGGGGTGGAGGGAGAGTTGGGCCTAGAACTGTCCTTTCCTGAGCCAGACATCCATCCCTGGGTTCCCAGCAGCGAGTAACTTTTAGTGACTGTCCTTCCTCTTTCCCCCAGCAATTCGTTCTTTTTCATGTGCCTAACCTGACCCGGGTATGGTGGCCCAAAAGGGCAAGTTCAGGCCCTAGACAACAATGCGCCGTGCAACATTGGCCTAGACACTTCATTTAGCTCACTTTCCCACGGTCCCTTGTCTTCATCTGAGAAACAGTGGAGGAGGTTAGACTCTTCAATCCGATTCATGTAACAGCCCGCAACATTAGGCAGCAGATGAAACTGCCACGGAACCCTGGGACAAAGAAGAAACCCCCAACAGAGGGAGGAAGGGAGGGACAGAGCAAGACGTGGCCATATTGGCGGGACTGAAGCTTGCCAGAGCCTCAGGGCTGATAGCCAGTATCTGAGGAGGATCAGTTTACCCTTTTCCAGGGATGGAGACTGATCTAAACCAGCACTTATTTTACAAAGGCTATGCTGTCAGCAGGGTGTGATGTGGTTTAGGAGGGAAGGAGAGAGAAATAGTGAGGCTGTTCAGGAACCAGCCACGGGCGGTGGTGGCCTTAGATGAAGAGCGGAGGAGGGGAGAGGAGGGATGGATAATGGCGAGGTCCTAGCAGCCATAGGTAAGTGAGCTTGACAGATCTCTGGAGGAGAGTGGGGCTCACTTGATATTGCGGGAGGAGAGTGGGACACACACTCCATGGAGCCAAGGCCTTGGGGACGGGGAGCAAGGCAAACTAACCTTCCTAGCCCTCCTCACTGCAAGAACAACTTCCAGAGATTAGAGACAAGGTTCCCCAGGCTGGGTCTATCCCTGCAGCTGAAAGCACAAGCCACCCCCACCCCCCAACAGCAGGAAATTTCTTTAGGCCGCTGCTGGCCTGGAGCCTCACGCTAGAGCTCCATGTTTACACATTCGAGAGAATTGAATCTCACATAATCATACGTGTGACAAAGGCCTCGGCTATAAGCAACATTAATGAAGACAAATGAATCAGCCAAACTCTGCAGCCTGTGCAGCCTGCTCCCTGGGCCCAGCCTGCCTGCTGGGAGGCTGCTCCGAGGGGGATGGGCAGGGTCTGGCTGCAACTGACTTTGCCTGACAGAGATCTATGAAATGCCTCTGGGCCTGGCCCTCCCAGCCTCACCCAGGCAGGCAGTCTTGGAGGTGTGGGGACATTTTGAGATTCTAAGAGCACATATGCACACTTTCAAGAAAGCCATCCTAAGGGAGGCATGTATGCATAGAGGAGTTAATGGTGGTAAATAAACAAATCCTCCACATCCTGGTGGTTGCTGGTGGGGAAAGCAGCTATTGCAGTCTTAATTCCAGCCAGGCAGTGAGTAACCATACCCTATGAGACACTTTAGGGAGAGCCGTGAGTCAGCCGTGCATACAGCGAGTAGCTAAATGTCCTTCTACCCTGTAAGGCCTCTTGTGACATTCTTCCCATTCTCTCTGTGACAGATTAGAAAACATTCAGCATTGAGACTTTTACTCCCATTTTTCCTGAGAGGATCAAAGTCCATCAAAAGAGGCAGGCGTTTATAATCACGTGGCCTGCTTTCAGAGCTGTGGGACTATTATGACCCAGGGGCAAGATGGACAGCCAGCAGGCTGTGCTATGACCCAGGGGCAAGCAGGCTGCATCTCGACAGGCCATGTCTGATGCTCGGAACCATCGAGACAACCTCCAGAAGTGGGAAGACAGTAGTCCCAAGGGTTTCCAGAAGGAGCACATGAAAACCCCACCTAGTTACCAGGCAGAGCGAACAGAGCCATCATTTTGGCATTTACCCCACGCAATTCAAGAGATGGCATGAAGGATAACCTCCCACTCCCTAGAGATAGCTCCAACAGGGCAGCAGAAAGGGCATCTTTCAGAGTCTGTAGGAAGGATTCTTAGAAGATTCTTGACACAAATGAAATAAGCCAATATCACTGGGTCAATACAAAGGATTTTGGAAACTAATTAGTCAGTGTAGAGATGGGATCAGCGGATGGCCACTTAACAGTGGAATGAAAATTTGACAAGTCAGGAAAAGGCTTGCATTCAGACAGGGAATACCACTAGGTCTCATGCCTGTGGGAGAACTATGGCAGTGACTCAGTAAAAGAAAGTAAGTTAGGGGACAGATCCACTGCCACCAGCAATCTTCTACAGGGGATTTTCTCTTAATGGCACACAGATTGATCTTTCCATTCCCTGGAAGGAAGTGGAAATGAGCAGAAAACATAAATATTTTCTAATAATGCAAGGCAGGCCAATATTAGGATACATGTGTACAGAGGAAATGAACAGTGCAAATAACACATTTGGGGAAGCAGGTTTCCAGCATCAACAGAGTGACTATGAGTCAGTAAGACTGGGGTGAAAACAGTGTAGGGCATTGTTCAACATGACCTAGCCAGCAGCCACGCCCACTTAGTGGAGGCCCAAAGAGGCTTGTTGCCTGGGGCTCATCTCTCACCCCAGTTTCCTCTTCTAAGACAAAAGGGTTGAACTAGATGAACTCAAAGATCCCTTCTGGTCCAATGATGCTATTGTTTGTTATGATTTCCCAAGAGGTGTCAGATCATTGTTAGCCCAAAGTTGGTGAACACCATGTTGTAGTAAGGGTCAGGAAAGGGCATCCTAAACCAGGGCTAGGTTTTACTTCCCTCCCTTGCCATGTTTCTGGGACAGTCCATGAGAACCCCTGGAAAACATTTCTAGTCATGGTCCCAGGAACAGCTGGGGTGGTCAGGCTGCCACATTGTACCCATAGTCAAGCACATTGCAGCAGCCTGCCTGAGTGGACTCCCGACACATGGCAGGAAAGCCACAGCACCATATGGCCCCCGCACATAGTCAGCCCCTATGACACACAGTCAACCCCTATGACACACAGTCAGCCCCTATGACACACAGTCAGCCTCTATGACATACAGTCAGCCCCTATGACACACAGTCAGCCCCTATGACACACAGTCAGCCCCTATGACACACAG